GTGTGTGTGTGTGTGTGTGTGTGTGTGTGTGTGTGTGCGCGCGCTTTAGTGGCCCTCGCAGAGTACAGAGAATTCAAGTAGGTATGACTAGGAGGAGAGTCGTTAGGAAGCCATCACAATAACTGAGGGAAGAAGGGTTTACTTAACACTACTTTAGGGATGAAAGAAAAAAGGGACAAACTAAAAAGGACTATTTCTGGCATTAGAAACAAATAAAATCTGGTTACTAATTGGGTGCAGTTGCAAGGAGAGGGGAGCTGTTTCCAGTGCTTTCCAGGTTCCTGTCTTGAGCGACTGTGGCATCAGTGGCACCTGTCACTGAGTCGGCTGTACTAGAGGAGCAGTAAGTACGAGTTAGGTTTCCTGGGTCCTTCGTTTGGAAAGTGAACAATGAATATGCCTATACGTGTCAGTGTCCCATTCTGCCAATTCTAAGCTCCTCACATGCCCCAGATCCCACCCCCAGTGGCCCCTGCACTACTCTCTGTCGACCCCACCATTGTTTCCTGTCGCCGTGCAGCACCTCCTTGTCTCGGACTCACCCTGCCTCATGCTCTGGTTGCAGCCATGTTCATCCTAGAACTTCAGGCCAAACATCACACTTCTCCCTGTGGCATCCATGTTCCTTTCTCACTGCCCACAGGAGCCCTGTCCTTGGGAACGACTGTGATTCTTCTACCTGCCCCGGGCCTGCGCTCACCCTCTTCCTTCTATCTGGAACACCACGCCTCTTCAGCGCCAAGCTTTGCTTTGGCTCCCTCCTCGGCCGGATCCTTTGAGCCACAGATGAGGCATCATTTCTTCAGCGTCTCTGGCCTCCAAGACTGAGAAGTGATGCTCCAAAGTGCTCTCGTTTTGCTTACGTTGGGCTTAACAGTAAATCAGCACTTTTTTCTGAACTAGAAGCTTCGTGAAGACAGGAACAGTGCCTTGTTCATCCACGGGCCTCTGTATTAGTTTTTCTATATAAAAAAATTGTCCCAAAAGTGTCATGGTAAAAGAACAAACACTCATCTCACAGTTTCTGAGTCAGGAATTCTAGAGCAGCTGGTACTTGCATAGGGCCTCTTGTAAGGGTGCAACCAAGGTGTCAGCCAGGAGGAAACTTGAGTCAACAGGATCCACTTTACAGCTCCCTCACATGGCTGTTGGTAGGAGGATACAGCTTCTCACCACACGGGCCACTCATAGGGCTGTAGACAACATGGTTTCCCCAGAGAGAGTGATCCAAGATATATAAAGCCCAAGGAAGGAAGCCATAGTCTCTTACCGCCTAACCTCAGAATTGACATGCCATGCTTTCTGATGTGCAATGTGCAAGGGACTACACAAGGGTATGAGTAGCAGGAGGTAGGCATCACTGGGGACCATCTTAGAAGATGGATCTCACAGCCCCCAATGAAGAGTAGTACAATTAGCCTGGAAGAGGTACTAACAGATATCTTAGAAGGAGTTAATAAATGAATGGATGAATCAAAATAAATACGTTTCTGCAAAGTGTTGGGCTAATTACCCCGGAGAATATAGAGATGTAACAGATGGACTTTTTATCTTTTTAATATGTTTCCTGCTAAAAAAAAAAAAGACTATACCATAATCTCTGTGATGCTAAGGTCTTCTTTTGCGTAAGATATCTGGTACAGTGAAAACTGAGTGGTTTATGGTTATTTGTCCCCAGAAGGCTGAGCAGACAGAAAAGCTCTGTGAAATAATATCCACATCTCTTTACATATTGAAAAAAAATTGCTACACATAGATTCTCATGCTTTACTTGTAAGAGAACTTGTCTTATTATGGGTATTTTGATACATTTAAGCTGATTAAAAGGTAAAGGAAAACAATGTCTGAAATAGCAGGTCCATTAATCAAGAAAATGAGAACCATAACCAATGCAAAGGATATTAAACTATTTGCCTTTCATTGGACTTGTGAATTCTGCAGGAGATAATGCTGAGCTCCATAAGATACAATTCAAAAACTAAATTATTTTAATAATTGGTTTGTCTACTGCCACTATTTTCTAGCTATACTGCATTAAATGTCATTTAACTATTCTAATAAATATTTAGCCCACAGGTAAAACTGATAAACATTTCTCTATCTGCCTATAAACAAAATAAGCTGGCATAATAGATACAGCAACACAATGCAACATTATAATATGATGGTAATGTGCTAAAGAACGAATCAATAAGAAAAAAATCATTATTAATTGCTTTAAAATAACATTAGAAAACTGTACAATGAAAACTATAAAACATTGTTGAAAGAAATTAAAGAAAACGAATAAATGGATAGATACCCCATGTTCATAGATTGAAAGACTTAATTAATATTGTTAAAATGTCCATACTAGTCAAAGTGAATTATAGATCCAAAGTAACCCTTCTGAAAATTCCAAGGACATTTTTTGCAGAAATAGAAAATCCATACTATAATTCATAGGAAGAATCAAGGGACCTTCAATAGCCAAAACAATCTTGAAAAAGAACAAAGCTGGAAGACTCGTACACCTTAATTTCAAAATGTACTATAAAGCTACAGTAATTGAAACATAAAGACATAAAGACATACATATAGACCAATACAATAGAATAGAGAGTCCAGAAATAAACCCTTCTATATTGTCAAATGATTTTCAGTGAGGGTGGCAAGCCCATTTAATGGGGGAAAAGACAATCTTTTCAACAAATGGCCTGGGAAAATTGGATAGCTACATGAAAAACAATAAAGTTGGATCCTCACCTAATACCATACACAAAAATTAAATAAAAAATGAAGCAAAGATCTAAACATTAGAGAGAAAACTATAAGACTCTTATCACAAAACATGAGGCAAAATCTTCATGACACTGGATTTGGCAATGATTTCTTTGACATGATCACTACGGCACAGGCAACTGAAAAAAAGAAAAAAAGAAAAATCAGTTGTTCTCATTTTTTTTCCTGAAATTACATTGTTAGTATATAGGAATGAAATTGATTTTTGTACATTGATTTTGTGTCCTGCAACTTTACTGTATGTGTTTATCCTTTTGCAACTGAAACAAAAAAATAAAATACCTTCATTATTTTAAACTTAACAAAGGATGTGAAGGACCTATACATTGAACAGTGTAAGACATTAGTAGGAGAAATTCAAGATGACACAAAGAAATGGAAAGATATTCTGTTTTTATGGATTGGAAGAATCAACATAGTTAAAATGGCCATATTACCCAAAGCAATATATGGATTTACTGCAATCTCCATCAAAAACCCAATGGCATTTTTAAGAGAAATAAAACAAAAAAATCATCATATTTCTATGGAATCACAAAAAACCTGCGAATATCCAAAAGCAATCCTGAGAAAAAAGAACAAGGCCAGAGGTATCACAATACCTGACTTCAATTTATTCTACAAAGCGATGATAATCAAAACAATGTGGTATTGGCAGAAAAACAGACACAAAGACCAATGGAATAGAATTTAAAACCCCAAATTAAACCCACATATATATGGGCAGATAATTTTTGACAAAGGAGCCAAGAACATACAATGAAGAAAAGAAAGCCTCTTCAATAAATGGTGCTGGAAGACTTGGAAAGCCACAGCTATCTTTAACCAGATGCCAAAATTAACTCAAAATGGATCAAAGACCTAAACAAAAGACCTGAAGCAATAAATTGCAAAGAAGAAAGCATAGGTACTAAACTAATGGACCTTGACTTGAGAGAGGATTTTATGAATTTGATCTCAAAAGCAAGGGAAATTAAAGCAAAAATAAATGAATAGGACTATATCAAACTCAAAATCTGCTGGCACAGCAAAAGAAGCCATCAAGAAAACAAAGAGGCAACCAACCAAACTGGAGAAGATATTTGTAAACAACACCTCCAATAAGGGCTAATATCCAAAATATGTAAAGAACTCATACAACTCAACAGCAACAACAAAAACAATCCAACTAAAAAATGGGCAGAGGACCTGAACAGACACTTCTCCCAAGAAGACATACGAATGGTCAACAGATACATGAAAAAATGTTTGACTTCACTAGCTATTTAGGAAATGCAAATCAAAACCACAATGAGATACCAATTCACACCTATTAAAATGACTATCATTAACAAGACAAATAATAACAAGTGTTGGAGAGGCTGTGGAGCAAAAGAGCCCTCAGATACTGCTGGTGAGAATGTAAATTGGTACAGCCACTATGGAAAACAGTATGGAGGTTCCTAAAAAAAAAATTAAGAATAGAATTACCATATGGCCCAGCAATCCCTCTTCTGGTATCCATTCAAAAAAATCTGAAAACATTAATCTGTAAAGATATGTGTACCTCTATGTTCACTGCAACATTATTCACGGTGCCCAACACATTGAAGCAACCAAAACGTCCTTTAATAGATGACTGGACAAAGAACATGTGATACATATACACAGTGTAATGTTACCCAACCATAAGAAAAGATGAAATACTGCTATTTGCTACAACAACTTGAGATTATCATGCTAAGCGAAATAAATCAGACAGAAAAAATCAAGAACCAAATAATTTCACTCATATGTGGGATATAAAACAGTAACAAACAAACAAGACAAACAAACCAACACTCATAGACACAGACAACAGTTTAGTGGTTCCCAGAGGCTAAAGGGGGAGGAGGTGGTAGATGAGGGTAAAAGGGATCAAATACATGGTGATGGACAAAGAACTGACTCTGGGTGGTGAACATACAATGTGATACATAGATGACATATTACAGAATTGTATACTTGAAATCAATAATTTTACTAACCAATGACACCTGATTAAATTTAATAAAAATTAAACTTGGGCTTCATGAAAATTTAAAATGTTTGTGCATCAAAGGGCACTATCAATGGGGTAAAAAAGGTAACCCGCAGAATTGGAGATGATATTTGCAAATCAAATATCTGATAAGGGATTAATATCCAGAATATAATATGGAAGGATTTAAGTGGACATTTCTCCAAAGAAGATATACCAAGGCCAATGAGCACACGAAAATATGCTCAACACCACCTATCATTAGGGAAATGCTAATCAAAACCACAACAAAGTATCACCTCATATCCATTAAGATGCCTCCTATCCACCCCCCTCCCCAGGGTTGGATGTTGTCCAGGGTATGGAGAAATTGGAGCCCTGTGGACACATAAAATGGAATAAGCCTTGCAGCAAACAGTGTGACTGTGACTGTTCCTCAAAAAATTAAAAATAGACTGACCATATGATCCAGCAATTCTACTTCTTGGTATATACCCCAATCAATTGAAAGCTGGGTCTCAAGAAATATTTGTACATGTATGTTCTTTGTACACCTGTTCATGGCAGCATTATCCACAATAGTAGAACACAGAAGCAACCCAAGTGCCCTTCAACAGATGAATGGATAAGCAAAATATATGTACAAGGGAATATTAACCAGCCTTAAAAAGGAAGGAAACTCTGATATATGCTACTATATGGGTGAATCTTAAGGAGATTTTGCTAAGTGAAATAAGCCAGTCACAAAAAGTCAAATGCTGTATTACTCCACTTACAAGGGTTACCTAGAATGCCAAAATCTAGAAACAAAAAGTAGAAAGGTGGTTGCCAGAGGCTGGTGGGGAGGGGAATAGAAAGTGATTGTTTAATGGGAATAGAGTTTCAGTTTTGCAAGATGGAAAGAGTTCTAGGGATGGATGGTGTGATGGCTGTAACACAACAAAAATGTACTTGATACCACTGAACTATACAGTTAAAAATAACTAAGAAGGTAACCTTTATGTTGTGTATTTCACCACAATAAAAAAAAAAGGAAAACAAGAAAAAATATATCTAGGAAGAAAGAAAAAAAAAGGCAACCAGTGAGATCTGTGTAGCTATGGAAGTGCCTGTATCTTGACTCTTAATGAATATCCTGGATATTCTACAATAGTTTTATCAGATGTGATCTTTGGAGAAAGGTGGGTAAACTGTACATGGGATCTCTCTGTATTATTTCTTACAACTAACTGTGAAACTACAGTGATCTCAAAATAAGAATTTAAAGTAACATAAAAAATGGTTGAAGTTAGTGCTTTATTGGATGTTAATATTCACATATCTGATTAAATTCTCCCTCATTCATTCAAAAAGCCTTTAGTCAGTGCCTGCAACGTGCTGGTTCTCATGGAGCTTACATTATTTTTGAAACAAATAATAGTTACCACAAAGTAAAGACTAAAATTCCCACACTGCCCTATAGAGATAAGTGCATAAAAACACTATTATGCTATATTCCATAAACTCTATTTTGTGTGTGGAAAATAAGTGTGTAATGGAGGACAAAATATTTAGATGCTACATTACATGGAATGAGTAAGAAGGCAACTATGTTTTTCAAGATATTAAAAGTGCATTCATTTAGCTTCTCTGAACCAACTCCATCTGAATTCATTTTGATGGGAAAATTGAAAATATCCATTATTATATTCTGTATACTTCACTAAATAGGAGGTTGGGGGGAGGGGAACACTGCAAGA